CTCGCCTGCGCCCACCCACATCCCTGTGCTGTGTCCACGCAGGCACTGATGCCGAGGCCCGGCTGCGGGCACTGGGCTTTGGGTACCGGGCCAAGTTTGTCAGTGGGAGTGCGCAGGCCATCGCCCAGGGTCTTGGTGCTGAGGGGCTGCGCCAGCTCCGCACCGCGCCCTACGCCGAGGCCAGGAAGGTGCTGTGCGCCCTGCCCGGTGTAGGTGCCAAGGTGGGTGCCAGGGCGGGGGTGGGATGGGGAATGGGGTCCAGCATCAGGGGCTGACAGTGCTGCTGGTGGCAGGTGGCTGACTGTGTCTGCCTGGTGTCCCTGGACAAGGCTGAGGCGGTGCCAGTGGACACTCATGTCTGGCACATCGCACAGCAGCGCTACGGCGTGGCGGTGGGCAGCAAGAGCCTGACCCCCCGGGCCTACCAGGAGATCGGTGAGGGCAGGGCTGGGCCCTGACATGGGACCTCAGGGATGGTGCCTGTGTCCCCCATGCTGGCACTCACCCTCTCTCCGCAGGCGATTTCTTTCGGGGGCTGTGGGGCCCCCGCGCTGGCTGGGCACAAGCGGTGAGTACCCCTGTCCCAGGCAGCTTGGGGCTCAGCCCTTACCCCCATCCTGGCCATACCCACCCCATCATCTCTCTCCACTCCAGGTACTGTTCTGTGCTGACCTCCGCAAGGGCCAGGAGCTGACCAGCAGCCGGGATCAGGCCTGGGAGAGCCGAAGCCAGGACCACCATGGGGATGGGCCCCCCTAGGGACACCCGAGGAGGAAGAGTGGCTTGAGTGCGACACTGTGCGTGCTGCCAGCCTGGGACAGAGGGGGGTGGGCTGTGCCTGTCCCCTGCCCACTGTGTGTGTGGAGGGAGCCGCTGTTCTGGGCAGTGAGGCCGGGGGGAATTAGGGCTGTGTCCAGCTCCCCCAGGGCAGAGCCGAGCCAAGCACCTTTGGCCTCTTGCCTTTATTACAAGCAATAAAATAGAAACATCCATTTGGAAAATTCTCCTTGAACATGCTGGGGGTGGGGGTGTGGGACAGTGCCAGGCCAGGCGTGGACGGAGGGAGGGAATGGATGTGGGAAGGGGCCTGCGACACAGCCCCAAGCTGGGGGTGCTCCGTGGGGTGCCCCTGCCCCGATGCAGATCTCTGCTGTGAGCCTGCAATGAGGGCAGCCCCACAAACCCAGAGCAAGCACAGCAGGGTGCCCTCACACTGTCCCCCCTGCTCCTGCACTGCAGGGCCCCCCACCCCACATGGTGCCCATGGGAGGGCTGGGCCCCCCTGGTCCCCCCTGGATGTGGCTATGTGGGGCCGTGCTCAGTCTGGAGGGAGGCGCTGACCTCTGCTTGTGGGTGGGCGCCCACAGTCTGACCCTGCAGGGAGGAGCAGGGTGAGATCCTGGCAGCAGCCCTGGGGGGTGCAGGATGGGGATTAGGGGGTCAGGGCTCACCATTGTTGGTCCCCCCTACCAGCCGCTCGCCGGGGCTGGTGGGAGTTGTCTGTCCAGGGATGTCCTGGCTGGTTCCCAACTGCAGCTTCCTCATGTGTCTCACCACTGCCGTGGCGTTGAAAGCTTGCTGTCAACCCCACAGTGTCTGTCACCTGACATGGGGTGCCTGGGAGACCTCTGTGTCCCCCAGCACCCCGCAGCAACCCCCACTCACCTTCCACTTGCTCTTTGCAAAGTTCTTCTTGATCTGCTCGCTCACTGACTGGTGGATGTTCTTGTCCAGGGCTGTGTCCCCAGCGATCCTGAAGCGAGATGGGGGTCAGCTGGGGCCCCCCTACCCCATGGCTGCTGTGGGGTGAGCCAGAGAAGGGGCAGATTGTGGCAGGTCACCCCTTACCAGGGATGCTGCAGTGCTTGCTCGCAGGTGAAGCGCTTGCTGGGGTCCTTCTCCATCAGGTGTTGGATGAAGTCCTTGGCTGTGACAGGGCATTGAGCAGCTGTGAGTCTCTATGCCCACCATTCCCTTGGGTTCTGTGACACTGTGCCAGGCTCCCAGCCCTCACCACCCTGGTGGTCTCAGCTCACCCGAGTCCGAGATGTCATCCCAGTAAGGTGAGTCAAACTCATACTCGGCCCGCAGGATCTGCTCAAAGAGCTTGGCATCGTTCTCATCATAGAAAGGGGGGTAACCGCAGAGCCTGGGGGTGGGGGGAGAGGGATGCTGGCCCTGGGCAGCCCTGGGGGCCAGGCCCCCAGGATAGGAAGGGGTAGGAGGGGGGATACATACAGAATGTAGGCGATGACCCCAATGGACCAGCAATCCACTGCCTTGCTGTAAGGCTTCTGTGCCAGCACCTCAGGGGCTGGGGGGGATGGCAGGGGTGAGGAGGGACCCCAACCTGTGGGGATACCCCAACCCAACACCCAGGGTGGTGGCGGCCCACAGCAGGCACTCACCCACATAGCCAGGGGTGCCACAGGCCGTGGACATGACACTGCCGCAGCCCTCGATCTTCGACAGCCCAAAGTCGCTGATCATGATCTTGGAGTCCTCGTCCATGCTGTAATAGAGCAGGTTCTCGGGCTGCGAGGAGAGGGGGTTCAGGGAAGGGCAACACTGGGCTCCCCTCCTGCCACCACCATGAGGGTGCTGCATATGTCCCCCTCACCCCCAACTGCTCACCTTCAGGTCGCGGTGGACGATGCCCATGTCGTGCAGGTACTTGACGGCATCGAGGATCTGCCGGATCAGGGCGCTGGCGTCCCGCTCGGTGTAGAAGCCCTTCTCCACGATGCGGTCGAAGAGTTCCCCCCCTGAGACCCTACAGGGATGGGAAGCACCCATCAGCACAGTCCCCCCTCCAAGACCTCTGTGGAGCCCCCCAACAACACTCACAGCTGCATGATGAGGTAGAGGTGAGTGCCACTCTCGTAGATGTCATCCAAGGCCACGATATTGGGGTGCTTGATCCTGCAGGGGGAGTTGCAGGGGCATGAGGGGGCTCCCACCTGCCCCCACTCCGGCCCCCACGGGACAGAGAGCAGCCAGGCTCCGTGCTGCAGGGCATCACGCGCTGCCAGCTATTTTGGGCACTGGCAATAACATGCGGCAATGGATGCTGGCAGTGGGGAGCTGTGCCGGGTTGTGGGGGTGCCATGGGGTGGGACTCCCACCCTGGTGCTGGGACAGCCCCTACTTGTGGAGGACGGCGATCTCGTTCTCGATGCTGGTCTCCTTCCCCTCCAGTGCCTTCTTGGCGATGCACTTGATGGCCACCAGCTTCCGTGTCGCCTTCTCCTCCGCTAGGACCACCTCGGAGAAGGCCCCCCTAGGGGGAGGTTAAGGGATAAGCAGGGCGGGGGGGGGTTGCCAGCCAGAGCCGTCAGTACCACTATGCCATGACTGTCATGGCGACAGGCAGAAAGTCCAGCTATTTATAGGAGAAAAGCAAGTGGGAGCCGTCCACTGGGATGGCTGGACAGCAATAGAGTGCCAGCAATAGAGCGCCTGGCACCACTTGTCCCTCCCGGTATGGCTGCACCATCCTATCAGACAGGATAAGGCTGTGATGCTGCTGGGGATGAGCCATGCTGGGGCTGAGCCCCGTGCCATGCCATCCCACAGCACCCAGGGTCACTCAAGGGCTGAGGTGCCCATTAGTAGCCGGGCAAAGCTGCTGGCAGTGCCCAAGTGGGGAAGTGACAGGCAGCATGTTTGCACTGCGAAGGGCCCTAAGCCTTGACGTAATTAACATGCTAATCCAGCCTAAGAGCCTTACGGTGCTGTGGGCACCAGTGGAAACCCCTCTGCCAGCTGGGGGACTATCCTTGGGCATGGCACAGCCACGCCAGCAGGAGGAACCAGCCAACGCCAGTGGGAGGTGGCACCTGCACCTGTGCCACACAGTGTCTCCCCTCATGTGCCAGCCCCACCTCAGGCCAGGATTTGAGCCGGTTCCACTTGGCAGGTCTGGCAAAGCTGGAGGGGCCAGACCCATCACGGTGAGTGTTGTCACCGGTGTGTCCCCCAGACTGCGACTCACGTGCCCAGGACATCTCGGAAGTCGTAGATCCGCCGAATATCCTCGGTCCTCTTCTTCCAGCTGGGCCCATCCTGCCCCAGCGGCATGGTGCCCCGTGGGGCCACCCACTCCCACCTGTGACACGAGTGAGAGACAGGGTAGGGACAGGGTGTCAGCATGTCGGGATGGTGTGGGGACTCGGGGGGGTGACGGGGTGCTAAGGGGACGTGGTTTTCATCGTGGGGTCATGGGAACAAGCTGTGCCCGTGCGGGAGTTTTGGCGCGGGATGTCCCACTAGGGACACAGGCAGGCACCCTCCAGTTGCCCGCCCATGGGGCGGGCGTGGGGCGGGCGGGCAGAGGGAAGGTCTCAGACACACGCGTGAGTGCGCGCGGGGGTCCCCACCGCCATTCCCCACGCCTGCCAGTTGGCACAGCCGCGCCGGGCGGGACACGCGTGGGAGCCGGAGCTGCGCAGCGCGGGTGGTGACGCGCGGCTCCGCCGCCGCCACTCGGAGCCGCGCGTGGGCATGGTGTCCGCGCGCGGGCACGCCGCCCCCGCCCCGCCCCGCCCTTACCGACGGCCCCGGCCCCGGGCCCGCGGCGGAGCAGCGGCGACTCCTCCCGGCGCGGCGCCGCCGGACAGCGCTGACGTCACGGCGGGGGGCGGGCGCGCGCCCGGCAGCCTCCAATGGGAGGGGGCGGTTCGGCCGCCGGGGGGGCCGGGGGGGACACGCGTGACCGCGGGCGCGCGTGGACAGGCGGGGGGGCGCGGGGAGGGGGCGCGCGCAGGGCGGCAACACCCCCGACACCCGCCCTGTGTCTGTTGTGGGGATGCGAGCGAACGGATGCCTCGGGCAGACACGCGTGGGGCTGCAGGACAGACCCAGCCCCGCCACGCCTCAGCCCCCCCGCCCCAGCTGAGCCCAGCACCAGCAGGGCCCTCCCCCGCCCACACCCGCCCCCGAGCAGGGCCAGTCCCCACGGTGTCCCCGATGTCACCACACCATCACCTGCACACAGCTGCTTTTATTGCCCGCGGTTGTGGCAATAGAAGCCACCGGTACATGGAGAGCTTGGCCACCCACCCACCGGGTCCCCCGCCCCTCCAGCCCCTTCCCCTCCCCACATCCTCCAGCTCCCCTGTGGGTGTTGGGATCTCCCCACCCCTGGTCACAGAAGGACAAGGGACTGTGGGAACCACACCACAGGAGCCACCACATCTGGCCCCTGCAGTGACCTGGCTGATGTCACCTGAGTAACAGGGGGAGTACGGGGTGACATGGGAGCAGAAGCCACCAGCTGGGGGAGGCTGTCCACAGGAGAGATCTCCACAACTCCACGGGGTCCCAAGCCTGAATCAGTGAAAGCCCCACGCAGGGACGGGACAGCAGGTAGGCTCTGTCACCCAGGCGGGGAGGCCGAGCAGGCCCAGGGCATGCAGGAGGCTGTGCCCACTCCATCCTGCACTGGCAGGGTACAGGCAGAGTACAGGCAGGGCAGCACCCTGCAGGTGAAGTCCACACAGAGAGGGGGGTCCTCGGCCCCCTCTACCCATCCAGCAGCTTGAGGATGCTCTCCCGCTCCTTCAGGGTCTTCCAGGCCTGGTCCTTCTCCTTCTTGGTGGGCGTGCGCTTCTTCTGCCGGGCAGCCATGATCTTGCGGAAGGCATCCATCACCTCGTTGTCGGCCATGCGGACACGCTGCCGCAGCTCCTGCCGGTGCAGCTCCTCCTTGGCCAGCCTAGGGGGCACACGGGGGTGTCAGTCCCCACCGGGCAGCCCCCTGCTCGCCCCCATCCCTGCCCGCTCGCTCTCACCGCAGCAGCTCGTGCTTCTTGGTGCGGTTGTGAGCGCTGAGGGCCTTGAGCTCCGCCTGCCTCTTGCGCAGCTCTGCCAGCACCTCATCCTCCGAGTCCTCGGCCGGGCGGTCCTCTGACTCCAGCAGGCCCTGGGCCACCAGCTCCTCTTTGATCCGACCCTCCAGGGACTTGGTGTGGGGGACGCTGCCAGGGCAGAGAGAGGCTGCTGCCCACCACACACCCTTTGCTCCCCGCGACTCACTGGGCAGGGAGCCAGCGCTGTGCTCAGTGCACCCATGGGCAGTGCCCAGCTCCGGGCCTGCCTCAGCCACTCACCTGAAGGGCTTGTTCTGGCTGCGGGGAGATGTGCCGGCACCGTCAGCTCCTGAGTCCTTGCCGGCAATCTCGGGGATGGGGGAGTCCTCCACGGGGGAGATGATGTTTTCCTAGCAAAGGGAGCATGAGGGAAAGGTAAGAGTTAGTTCTGGGTTGTGGTGGTGCTGCCCCCCATGGGGTCAGGCCAGGGCATGGCCCCACAGAGCCCCCTCACCTCCACAAGGGCCTGCAGGAGACGCTGCGTCAGGGGACCGAAGGGACACCCATCCTCTGGCTGCTCATGCTGGGCCTCCGACTTCTTCAGGAGGGCATCGACGTCTGGGAGGAAGCAGGAGAGGGAAATAAACAACCCCAAAGGTGACCCAACAGAGGTGAGCAGTGGGGCAGGGCAGCCTCAGCCCCTGGGGCTGGGGCTTGGCTCCACTGGGCACGAGTGCTCCCAGCCCCTCTAGGGAAAGGCAGGGGCGGGATGGGGGCACCTTTGGTGTCCAGCTCAGTCAGTGGCCCCAGGACACCTTTCTTCTTGTCGGCAGCAGCTGCTGCCCGGGCTCCATCCTTCTGCTCCTCCAGCAGGTCCTCCTGTGCCCAGCGCTGGGAATAATGCTTCCCCAGTGGCGGGATCTGCGAGAGCAGGGCTCAGCACAGCTCCTGGAGCCTCCACCTTGCCTCCCACCTCCCCAGAACTACGGCAGCATCCCGAGCGGGAACATTTGCTGTGAGATACTGGAGAGGATGGGGAGAGAGGACACAGGATGGGCTCGGGAGCTTTTCACCTTGTAATGCTCAGCCTCATCCTCTGGCGGCTTGAGCAGCTCCTCCAGGACTCTGACCTCCTCATTAGTGAGATCGGCACAGTACGGCTCCACTGATGCCCAGAACCTGCAGGGACGGATGGACTGTGAGGGAGAGCTTCAGGGGAGCACGTGGGAGCTGACACACGTCCCCCTTCCCCGGGGTACCTTATCCCTTGGCTCTTGTGCTGGATGCTCCAAAGAAGGAGACAGATAATCCCAATGCCCCCCAACACCCACACACCTGTTTGGAGCATCATTTTTGGGAATGCGGGGCACTTCAATGGGATCATCCTGGAACTCATACTCCTGGATCTTGGGCTGCAAGTTCTTGGACTTGGGCCGGCCAGGGCCAGGCCCAGTCCCATGGCCCCCTTTGCCCTCCAGCTTCTGCTTCTTGGGCTTCCCATGTTTGACAGATGTGCCCACATCGTGGTCCTTGCTCAGCTTCAGGAACCGCCGGTCGCCTTTCTTATCCTGCCAGTCTGTCAGGATCTGGAAGAGAGTTCATGTCCCATCAGGTCCCATGCCCGGGACTGGGCAGGGCCAGGCCGGGGGCAGCCCCTGGACGAGAAGGAGCGGGACAGGGAGCCTGTCCCTGACCCTACACAGTCCCAGCACCTGTGTCTCGGCCTCCAGGACGCGGAGGCGGCGGCTGGCGGAGGAGAGTAGCGTCTCCAGCTCCAGCTGCAGTGTGTCCAGCTCCTCGATGCCGATGCCGTCATCTTCCGAGCGGGCCTGCACGGCCGTGTACCGGGGGCACACCTTCACGTGGTCCACCGACTTGAAGTCGTGGAACTGCAGCGGGCAGTCCTTCAGCTCGCTCATGGCGGCGGACACCGGGCACCGGGGGGCTCCGGGGGCACCGAGCGGCGCTGGGGACAGGGGAACCCGGGGGAGAGGGGGGCGGATCGGGGGGCTACGGGGGGCCGGGGAGCATCGGGGCTGTGAGGGATCCGGGCGCAGGATCACCGGGGGGAACCTGGAGGAATCACTGGGGCGCTGCGGGGACCCGGGGCGGGATCACGGGGTGGGCTCACGGGGCGGGATCCCGGAGTGAGATCCCGGGGTGGGTTCACGGGGCGGGATCCCGGGGTGAGATCCCGGGGTGGGCTCACGGGGCGCGGCGGGGACGCGGAGGGGGGGGCCCCGGGCCTGGGCCGCGCGCCCCTTCCGGCCCTGCGGCCGCCCCGCCCCTCGCCGCCCATTGGCCGCGCCGCGCCCCGCGCCGACGCTCATTGGCCCAGCGTGCCCTCCATCTCCCTGCCCTAATATGGAAGAGCTGACAGGCGCGTACCAAGTGTGGCGCGGCGCGGGGGGAGCCGCGCCGGCTGTCGCCGCCGCCACCCCGCTCCGCGCCGCGGGGGGGCCGGGCCGCAGGGCGGGAGCTCTCTGTCCGCACCCCCTCCCGCCCGCCGCAGTGGGAGGTGCCGCGCATCCCGGAAGAGGTGATCGGCTACTTCCGCCTGCCGGGACCGGAGCGCCGCCGCCACCGCCATGGTAGGGTGGGGGAACCGGGATGGGCGGGGGGACGGCACTGGCACCGGGACTGGCAGCGGCACTAGCAGCGGCACTAGCAGCGGCACTAGCAGCGGCACTAGCGGGGGGTGATCGGGACCCGGGGGCTGCGGGTCGGGGGCTGGCGCACAGGGCGGGACCCGGGAGCAGACGGTCCCCGGAGCGCGGTCTGACGGCACCGCCGTGTCCCCGCAGACCGCCACGCTGCGCCCGTACCTGAACGCGGTGCGCGCCACGCTGCAGGCCGCGCTGTGCCTGGAGAACTTCTCCTCGCAAGTGGTGGAGCGGCACAACAAGCCCGAGGTGGAAGTCAGGTAGGGGGAGGGGGATACCGGGGGAGCCCTGCGGAGCCCCCGCTGCCCGCCCCGGGGGACGCGGGCCGGTCTCTGCCCTGCTCCGGGCACCCCCTGGCCCTCGGGCACAGCGCTGGTGCCGGCAGGGAGCCGGGGAGCTGCGGGAAGGAGGAGGGGATCCAGCTTGGGGACGAGGGAGGGACGTCCTCGGGGGGCGGGAAGCATCCTGCAGCAACCCCCCCCATCTCTGTGATCCCCGCGGCTCCGCTTCCCTATACCTCGCAGTGAATGCTGCCTTCTGAGTCACCCCTGCCCTTCCTCTGCAGGAGCAGCAAAGAGCTGCTGTTGCAGCCGGTGATCATCAGCAGGAACGAGAAGGAGAAGGTACTCATCGAGGGCTCCATCAACTCCGTGCGTGTCAGCATCGCTGTGAAGCAGGTGAGGGGGCGTGGGCAGGGGCTGGCAGCTCCTGCCTCGGAGGAAGCCTCACTTCCCTTTTCTCTCCCCAGGCCGACGAGATCGAGAAGATCTTGTGCCACAAATTCATGCGCTTCATGATGATGAGGGCTGAAAACTTCTTCATCCTGCGCAGGAAGCCCGTGGAGGTGAGGGGGCAGAGAGGGGGCAGAGCAGCCCCCAGCTATGCTCCTGGCACTGGGAGGGTGTCCAGGGCAGAACTGGGATGTGAGGTTGCATGTCAGTGACTTGGGTGCTGATCCCCAGGGCACTTCTCTCTTTCCCAGGGCTACGACATCAGCTTCTTGATCACAAACTTCCACACGGAGCAGATGTACAAGCACAAGTTGGTGGACTTTGTCATCCACTTCATGGAGGAGATCGACAAGGAAATCAGCGAGATGAAGCTCTCTGTCAATGCCAGGGCCCGCATTGTGGCAGAGGAGTTCCTCAAGAATGTGAGGCTCTGGAATGGGAGGGGGCAGGTCCCTGATTTTGGGAGTGGGGTGTGGCACTCAAAGCCACTGTGACCCTTGTGCCCAGAGCCCCCCTGTCACCTCAGTGGGGACAGCGGTGACATTCTACCCAAGGACCATCTTGGGAACAGAGAGGGGAGGGTGCCAAGGGTACTTGTACCTCCTTTCAGAGAATGACACAATTTCTCAGTTGGAAGGGACCCACAGGGATCAGCCAGTCCAACCCTTACCCTGCACAGGACACCGCAACAATCCCACCATGTGTCTGAGAGTGTTGTCCAAACACTTCTTGGACTTTGTCAGGCTTGGTGCTCACGAAGTGCCAGTTTTGAGACCCCGAGTGTGCTCAGGGGCAACAGCAGCCTTGGAGTCTCAGGTCCTTTCGGTGGATGCTGTGATGGATGTGCAGTGCCTGGGGGAGGCAGCGGGAGAAGCTGAGTGTGGATCTCTGTGAGCACCACGCGGGTGCCAGGAGGGTGGTGAGTGCCCCAGGCAGGGACTGACAGCTGTGTGTCTTCTCTCCTTTCCAGTTTTAGGCCGTGGTGCAGGACCCCGTGGCTCCCCCGTGCTTGTGCCCGCCGGGCACCGTGCCTGTGCCTGCTCCTGCTCCCTGAGAACGGCCGGGCCGGGCCGGGCCGGGCCCCACCTGCCCGTCTTTGGGCGGGGCGGCCGGGTGGGAGCAGCCCCCGCTTGCGGCAGCGCGCCCCGGTGCTGCCATTGTCTCGTCTTGTTTTTTTAAACGGTCTCGTTTGCTGTATCCACCGCCTCCGACTCCTCCCTCCCGCCGCACCGGGGGATGGGGGGACCGCGGCCGGGGGGAGGGGGTGCAGCTCATGGAATGAGAAGAGCGTGAAACTGGAGGAGTGCAGCACCATGGCAACAGCAAACGTTGATTGATGGTGTCGGGGAGGACCATTGGGGCAATGGGGGGATATGAAAGGACTTGAAGGGGGCCTGGGGGCACCAAGGGGCTTGAGGGGGTCCTCTGGGTGTGAGGCACAAAAGGGTTTGTGGGGGGTGTGCGGTCTGAGGGGGGGGGCAGGAGGCTGTGGGCACAGGGGGCTGTTTATCCCCCCTTGAGGGCAGTAGAGCCACTGTGGGGGCTGGGGCTGTGACGTTACAGCACTGCTGGGGGTGGGGGGGAGCCACATCCTGCACTTTGACATTGCAGTGACACTGGGGTTTGGGGGCCACAGCCTGCATTTCGATATCAGTGGTGCTGGGGCTGAGGGGCCAATCCTGCACTGGGCACCTGCTCCAGTCCCCAGCAGGACAGGGGACTAGGATGACCTGCTTGGCACAGAGGAGGCAGAGCCACCCACAGCTCCCCTCGCTCTTAGGCTACCATGGAACAATGTAGCACAGAGAGCAGCACTGCAGGCACACAGCCCCCCAGCCAGGGGCAGCGCTGGAGCAGGGGACACCCCAGCAGTCCCCGGGCCCAGCAGGCTGGGGACAAGGGTACAGTAGGACGTCCTGGGGCTGTGCAGGGCACTCGGGGCGCTGGTGCAAAGCCTGGCAGGTCAGACAATGCCATGTCAGGGGCCCCAGGCTCAACCAGGCAGAGGCAGGCGGGGCAGCGCCCTCTCCCTCACTCTGCCCCACCCCGTGCTGGGGACACGGGGCCAGTGAGCTCAGACGGGGCTGTGCTCACACGGCTGGCATCAGCCACCACCACCAGCCACCAGGATGGCCACCAGTGCTGGCTTGACCTTGAGCTCCTCAAGAAGGCCAAGCTGCATGTGGAGACAGCCATTAAGGTTAGGGGCCTGATTTCACACCTCCCCAAATGCGATGTGCTTGGCTTTATTGCATGTCTGGCTCAGGAGAGCTGAGCTGGAGGGACCAGGACTGGGGCAGGCTGAGCCCTCTGGTCTCTGTGCAGGAGAAGAAGATCTTCATGGTGCAGGGCCCCTACCCCACCATCCGCAAGCTGCTGCGGGCCCGGGGCTGGGTGGAGAGGAAGCCCCCCAGCGTGGGCAGACAGCTGGAGCAGCATCGTGGCAACCAACAGAAACAGCAGCTGGAGAGAGAGGCAAGGGAGGATGGCGAGGAGCAGGGGGAGGCAGTGCTGAACCCACGTGGTGGGGCACGGCCTGCCCTGGAGATCACAGAGCTGCTGCACTCCCCTTGGCCACCCACTGAGGAGGAGGAGGAGGAAGAGGAAGAGCAGTGCGAAGAGGACCCCAGTGGCATCCATGACCTCATGGTTAGCTGAGAGGGCTGAGCTCTGCCACAGCTCCCAGCACCCTTCCCTGGGACTCCCAGGCATGGGGCACACCCTGGGATGGGGGCTCCATGTCCCACGCTGGTCCCTTCCCTCACAGTCCTACCTGGTGCGGCACCGAGTGCCAAACTTCATCTGGGCCAGCTACCTCGGTGCTGTTGACCCTCGGCTGCTGGAGCAGGACCATGTGGTGAACCACTATGCCCGAGTGGGTGCCTTCACCACCAAGGTGGGAACCCGGAGCCCTTGGAGAGGGGGGGACACGAGAGGTGGGTTCACTAGGGACTGACAACCTTCTCTAAACAGGAGGGGCTGTGCCTCAGCCTGCAAAACCTGCCCTGGATCGAGCAAGCAGACCCCAACACCTTCTTCCCACGGTGCTATCGGCTGGGGACCACAGATGAGCGGCAAGCCTTCATCGGTGAGCAGAGGGGTGCTGCCCTCCTGTGCTCCCACTCTTCCCACATCCTGTGCAGGACTGACTGGGGACAATGCCTCCCTCTTGCAGACGATTTCCGCCTGACAGCAGCTCGCAGTCTGCTCAAACTGGCCCTGGAAGAGGCTGGGGACAGGCTGATGGGGACTGAGCAGCCCCCGAGCTCTGACAAGGGGCCAGGTGAGTGCATGGAGCTGATGGCAGGGACATGTCCGGGGGCTGAGCTTGGAGGCTGAGTCTCTGCTAGTGGCTGTGGCCTGGGATCCCCTGCTCCCTCCCATAAACCCACCTTATGGGTGCTCTGCCCCCCACCCCATCCCCATGCTACCAAAGCCACAGGTCCCAGAGGGAGGCTCTGTGCTGCTCTGGCTCCAAGGCTGGCACATTAGCCATGTCTCTCACCCCATGCCATCCAAAGCAGGGACAGGATCTCCCCTGTACCCCCAGCTGGTGGAGGAGGCCCTGGAAGTCTGCGAGCAGCACCTGGGTGTTCTGGGGCACCAGGACATTGACAGGGGCACCCCGTTCCCCTGCAGGACATGCATTGACTGGGACCGCTTCCTGCAGGATTACTACTGTGTGGCACAGTGAGTGCGGAGTGGGACAGGGGGCAGGGGACACTGTGGTGGGGCTGGTGCTGAGTTCCCCATGTCTCCCCACAGTGAGGGGGCCGGGCTGGTGCTGAGTGGGGCACAGCGGGAGCGGTGCCAGGACCTGCTGCGGCGCCTGGCGGAGCAGCTGCCGCAGTTCAGCATGGAGGGCAAGCTCAAC